ATAATTACGAAATCCCAGATTTTTGGCAAAGTAACAAGCATTAATAATAATTTAGCTAGAATTAGACACTACAATAATCATCCACTAAATGAACAACAACTTATTCTATGCTTTGGATGCGAACTCAAAAACCCAAGACTCAAAACAACTCATTGCTACTTCACAACTTCAACACAGCTAATTTTCAAAATACAAGTTGACTGTCATAAATGAATTCATGCAAATCTGAAATGTTTATATTCTGAACAAAAAACTAGCTAAATTAAATGAGAGCAAAAACCACAACTATTAACTGGAAAATATTGTACCAACTATAGATTTATTCAAGCCTTCATGAGAGAGCAAAAAGAACTATAGGAAATCTTCACAACAAATATCTTTCCTAAAAAATTAGAAATTACACTAACATCAAATCATAAAAAAACAAGCAAACACAATATATCATTTACTCAACTTGAAATACTACATGATGGAAAAATTTGGCATTGTACAAATCAGTCATTCTCTTTTGCGACCTATATATTATTAACAATGCTAGCCATAATACTTACAGTAATAACTGCAGAAACAAGCATCAAAATTTTAACAGACAGTAACTCAATTAAAAACAAAATTACAATAATTCTTTCAAACCAATTTGAGCCAAGACAAAAACTCAGAAAAATTCAATTCAACAACATAATTAATCTTTTAAATATTATAGTAAATACAAAAAACTTACAAATCCAAATCGACACAATGGAAGAAAAAATCAACATAAAAGATGCATCATACCAATTTCATACAAATCTCATCCCAAGCAAAATACTCAATAATATATTTGCTCTATATATACTAAATACACTAACTACATACTTAATTCATCAAATACCTAAAATTCTACAACATGCCGAAACAATGACAATATGGAACAACCAAAATCATATTAAAAATATTACAAAATGACTTTCAAACATTAACTGGAAACTTACATTTACATATCTGAACTTTCAAAACAAACCTCTAAGTCAAAACACTGATCTTAAAAAATCTATACTAAAAATATTTAAAGTCAAAATCTTAACTTCTGAACTTCCAACTCATTTAACTCTATACAACAGAAACTCAAAATCTTATCCTAATCCATATTACGCAAAGTGCCCTAATATACTAGAAGATATAATTCACATGTTAACCTGCCTTTACAATCAAGTAAAACTAAAAGAAATAATAAAAGAAACAATTATCAAAAACTGTGAAGACAATGAAATCGAATCATTCATAGCATCAGACTTAGTACAAGAAATGCAAGACATTTATATTAAACAAAAAATTTCAATAGGAATTATATCTGACAACTTATCCAACTTGGGACCATTAAAGAAAAAACCAAACTTGCTTCTAAATATATATCATCGAATTGCAAAGAAAATATATAAATATATATGAAAACCAAACAGACTACATTTTCAATGTCACTCTTTACTCTCACTAACCCCTTCTAAAAACATAGATGCTACATCTACAACTCCTATAAATAGACAATATACAATATGGCTTTATAGATTTATAAAATTTAACCAAACATCTCCTCTCACTGAACCTATAGACTAGAGGTCTATTAACTATTCTAGCTAAGAATAGGTTGAGGATAAATTAGCCCTAATCTCTACTCCTTTAGTTTAATGTATCAATTTGTACTAATGCACTTAATTATATATTATCGAAATAAAGGACTAGAGGAAAGACCTTTCTTAAAAATAAAAAAAAAAATTTTACTTTTGTGTCTTAATTATTTTTTATATATTATCTATTATTTAGCAGAGCAAGTACAAGATGCTAATATGTTGGCTAATATATATACATTACAAAATATTAAAGGCCATCAACTTGGTAGTATACACGAAGAAGAGCTAGAAAAAAAAATACATGATGCTATCAAATCCAAAGCTAAAATTAATAAGCTTAGCGAAAAATTGCAGGATAAATACATAAAACAAATGAAGGCTTTTGATTGAGAAAGAAGAGGTGGAATCAAAATTCATTATGAAATAATACTGAGATCCAAAAATTATGCACCCATACTTTGCAAGTCATTAATGAACATAAGCAACTACATAATGAAAATACTAATCTTATTTCTCATAATGCACAAAAGAATATTTTTATTGCTGAATTCAAAGCTGAGAATGTTACAAAATTCAAGAAAATCAAATCACTCAAGTCTATGATCAAAATATTAGAAATTAAGTTGTCTTCAGCCCAGAAAGATGTAATTTCAATTCAAAATGACTCATCGAAAAAAGAATCCAAGATCGCATCTCTCAAATCAAAAATAGCTGAATTAGAAAATATAAAGAGCGAATTGGAAGAAGTGAAGCCTTGAGACTATGTCTCATTGAAGGTCAATAAGCTTGAGTGTCTGAAATCAGAGACTATATTGAAACCTGTGATTGGTGAAGATATCAAAAAAAATATATCGAATTTTAGTAATATTTCTGTAGTTAGTAAACCTATTAAAGATCTTAGTCAATATTTTGGACACAGAAAAAAATTAAATTAAGCTAGAAAAATTGATAATGATATCTCAGCACAAACTAATAATAAGTTTACTGAACTATCAAAAGTTAGTACTAAGATTAGCTCTAAGATAAATGAGAAAAGTAACATTAACAAAATTAGTGAGAATATCATACCCCAATCTCAGATTTCAGTAGAAGGAATAGAAGCAATGAGACCTAGTCTCAAGGCTTTGTCTCTTCTTGCTGTGACAAACACTTTAATGTCACTGCTATCAGCATATATTTTTCTTATTTTGTTGATTATTATGGTTATGTGGTTCATAAGACATACATGGAATATAGGTAGGCTTGAAGCGCCATTGCTCTGCAGGCCCAAAGAAGTGACTCTAAAGAGTTATAAAAAAAGTGATTGATTGCAAGATATGTAAATCAGGTAACTAAAACTATCTATTTGAACTTGGATATTATTTATGTACGAAAAATAATCTTATTATATAGTATCACTAATATTGGGCCATTAGTGAAATACTTATTACAAGCTTTTAATATATTTTATAAGCCATTTTTTTGGTCAACTTACAGAGTGGAGATGCTTACACATCTAGCATACATATAGCATATCCTGATTGCATTAATTTTTCTATTAAATATTCTATGTGGTATATATTATTAAAAAATTTAGCATAAATATGATTGATCTATTTGGTGGCGAAGAAGTATACAACAAGGAATATGAAGTTGAAGACTGTCATGTTAACAGAAATTCTCCTATGTGTACATCATGTAAAAAGTGTAGTAAGTTAACTTTTTCTATATTGGCAATATATACAAGATATAGTGATAAGTATCGAAATATAAAACATTATTACTAAAAAAAGCTAGAGAAAATGGCAGAAAAATCAGAAGTGCTTAAAGAAAACTCGCAATAATATGACCTGATAACATGTATATAGCATAATGACATATGACTAAATGCATTACCAGATATATTTTTTTTGCTAATCTTTTAAAAGTACAGTATATTATATAAAATGAGTTCTCAATTATTGGAAAAAATTATTAAAATTCGACAAAATGCATTATTACTCTTCAGATTTAAATCTTAGGCCAAAGAAACACCTGATCTTAATGCTACAATAAAATTCATCAATGTGGTAGTAGGTAATTGGTGCGGTTATGCTATCAAGAGTAAACAAAAAAAAGAAGAACCTAAGGGTCAACAAGTATAAAAACAAATTTATTGAATTGACTGCAAACTATACAGAGGAACTGGTTTTAATAAAGCAAGAGCTTTGATTCTTTTAGTATATAAACCAGAATCAGTCAATGAAATTTAAGAACTCTTTGATTTGATATCTATTATCAATACTAACTCAAAATTTATTGATTAATTCAATCAATCAATGATCTAGTTTAGTAGCATACTTCTAACAGAAAGTATATTGCTACATTCAACTAATCATTTATTTCAGGTAAGGGGATTTTTGTCATCTCTTACAATAAGTGTAAGAAAAAATTCAAATCGAAAAATAATTGCAAGAAAATAATAAGATACCTGAACTATTTTTGTGTTGCATAATTTAAAAATTCGTGTGATGAAATTATAGTGCAAAAGCATGAAATTTTTTGATATGATAGTATGCAAAAGTAAGAATAAAATTGTTGAATTAGTAGTACATAAAAGTATGATCCAATTTTTTGATTCAGTAATATGCCAAAGTATGATTTGATTTTTTACAAGAATTTTTTGATTTGGTAGTATGCCAAAGTATAATTCAATTTTTCGAATTGGTAGTACACCAAAGTATAATCCAATTTTTCAATAGTAAAATAACAAAGCATAGGACAATTTTTTACATAAAGAGGTAATACACCAAAGTACCAACTATGCGAGAAAGGCTTTCAGTGACCCAAAACATAGTATACTCACAGTAGTATGTCAAGGTATAATAATTATAAAAAGATATATAATATATAAAATTATGCTTTGGGGTACTACCAAATGGATAACAATTCAGCACTATATGTCTCATCATCAGATTACCAAATAGGATAACAATTTGGCACTACATGTCTCATTCTAAGATAACATAATAGATAATGATTCAGCACTATATGTCTTATTTTCAGATTACCAAATAGATAACAATTCTGCACTATATGACAACAGACTTATAAACTAATCATCACTCAAGTGATGATATATATAAATCTATCGGCACTTGAATAACAACAGATATATGATTCCATCATCACTTGAATAATGACAGATATATGATCCCATCATCACTCAAATAATAATGCAAGCATGAATCATTCATCACTCAAATGATGGAGCAAATACTAATATATCTTTAACAATGCAAGTGCAAATCATTCATCACTCGAATGATAACATGAACTCAAATTCGTCATCACTTGAATGATGATGCAAGCATGAATTGTTCATTACTTGAATGATAGAGTGAATACTAATATATCTCTGATGATGCAAACATGAATTGATCGTCATTTAAGTGATGACACAAACATGAATTGATCATCATTCAAGTGACGATGCAAATATGAATCGATTGTCATTGGAGATAGTTATAGTCTAAATTAAGTGGTATAATTATAATCTGTATAGATTATAATTATACCACTAGCTTTCTTACATTGGAGGTTATAACTAGCCACATATGCACTTTTGGTGTTTAATTTAAGTAGTCTATCTATATATTATTATACAGGTTCTATATTAGGTGTTATATCTGCAAGCTAATTATAGGTTTTGCCTATTTAAACCTTCTGCATATGCAGTTTACCATGTCTCATGATGACATTTTCAAGATTACATCTATTCAAAGTACCTAATGCTTTTAAGGTCTCTTAGGACTAATTTATTTTTAACAGGTAACTTACTAGAATCTTTTATGTCCTATACATAGTTAATCTAGTTTTATATAACTTGTTATAGTTGTCTAATACTTGCAATCATAGAAGTTATCTGTTTAATTGCTATATTACACTATTTTTATTCTTGTAAAATTTACTAGAACCTCAGTACCTATTATTGTAACATTTTCTTTATTATCTCTTACTAATTATTACTTAGGATTGACAGAACTTTTCTGACTTCCAATCCAGATAGCTTGGTATAATATACTTATATATTCTTTTCTTTTAGCAATTCTGGCAACCTAGTTGGTCATATGCTTCTTTATACATCTTGTCATCTGGTTTATCTGTTTATCTTGTTAGAGGTGTTTCATGGGTTTTCATTAGTTTGACCATACTGTCGAAAGTTTATACTACCTTTTTATTCAGAAATTTTCAAGTAGGTTTCTGCCTTTTCGATTTTTTAGTTTACTGTATCTGATAGTCTTATTATAGGTTTGCACTAAAGTCTTATGCAATACTGGTTATATATTCCTTTATGTATATATAATATTACATTTTATATAGATATCTTAAGCTTCTATTTGAGATAGTATGACTTAAGGTTATAGACACATCAATTCAACTAATTATTAAGAGACAATTTGCCATAACATAGATATAATTTTCTAAATTTCATTATAGATGAAATTTGAACACTAGACCTGTCATTTGGAGGATAACAATCTAATCATTACACTATGATCATTATCCCATTGTTTAATTTTTATAAATTTACTTGTAATTATATATATTTAATAATTAAGTAATCAAATTATATAACTTTTTAATATTATTAAAAATAAAAAAAAAACTTTGTATAAAAAAGTTTATAAATTAATAAAAATTAACTAACCTTTTTAATTTATTTATTATTTATTTTTTTCAGTTTAAAGCAGTAATTTTGTTTATATGTTTTTATTAAGTAATACAAAATTATATTTTTTATATACAATAGTCTATTAATAAAAGTACAACTATGATCCTAAAAACACATGAACACTATATACCTCTTCTACAAATTGGCATATAGACAAAATAACAAATATATCAAATTTCTTAATACTCTTTTAAAAATACCAAATCATAAACTCAATAACTAACATAATTAATATTTCTTCAACATCTACAACATTTCAAATAAACTATAAACAAACTATTAATTTAAAATGCAAAACACAAAAAAGAAAACAACATTTTTTTTTTAATCTTTGATTAGTCTTGCTAAGATCTTTCAGCAGTCCTCGCATTTTTCGAACTAATGTTCTCAATATATTCCTGAATCTGGACTTGATCTCACTCAGTCCATACTTTTAAACTTTCTAAAAGTGACTATTGCACTGATTCTTGCTGGTATTGGAAGTCTTCACCAAGCTCTATCAAGAACCAGCTATTATTATGAGTTCATATAGTATATCTCATTGTTAGACTTTTTGGCCTCACATTACATCTTATAACTTTGGTTATTCCAAATCAGATTCTAACTTATATTCATCACTGGATGGCTTCTCAATCACAGATCACTTGCTGTTTCTAGAAATAAGTTCATCTAATGATGTTCCAGGTCCCTGGTGCTGCAGTGTTGCAGTTCTCTATTTAGAAATGCATCTTTACAATTGCTGTTATTAGGATTTGAACTGGCAACTTTGTGATTTGTGATCTTGGAGCATAACCACTATGCTATCAACCTAGAGGTCTAAAAAACAACATTTTGAACTCAATATAAATAACCAAGAAATACAAGCACTTTAAAACATTTATACAAAATTATATAAACCCACTTCACAATTACTATCATCTCTTTTACTACTCTTCTTAGAAATCCTTCTAATTCAAAATACAATACCAGATCCTATATATCAAAACTAACTTATAAACCTACATCAAAAAATACTATTTCTGAATTCAAACAATTTATACTTTTATACAGATGCCTCAATACTTA